CTCGCTCGCTCACTCACTGGCCTGTTTATCAAGCGTCTGTCGAGCACCAGTTTGCCTGGCTCTGTCCTTGAAGGTGGGCGACACAGGTGGGGACAGCGTGTGCTTCTCACTCCCATGTGCTCTAACTCCTTAAAGAAACAGCACTTAAGAGACAGACCATCATTAAGGTTAAGTGGGGGCATAAAAGAGGGGCTCTACGGGGTGGTGGTGCACACCTTTAATCCCAGCACTCGGGAGGCAGAGGCAGGTTGGTCTCTGAGTTTGAGGCCAGCCTGGTTTATAGAGTGAGTTCCAGGGCAGCCAGGGTGACATAGAGAAGCCCTGTCTCAATAAACAAACAAACAAACAAACAAATGAACAAACAAACCTAAATACAAGTGGGGCTTTGGTTTGATGAGATTTGTACCTTTATCAGAGAGCCTGGGTGCTGTTCCATCTGGCTCAGCCTCTCTGTGTATCTCAGAGAAGAGACTCCTGTGAGGTCAAAGCAAGATGGCTGCCTACCAGCCCAGGCAGGAGTCCTCACGGTGAGACCTCCTTCACGAGTGTCCCGGTCTTAGGCTTCTGTTATCTTGAACCACACATGCAGTTCTGTGCCTTGAAGTGTCTCGAGTTAGCCACCTTTGGCTATAGACATCCAAGCGGACAATGACCCACCTCCAGCCTTCTCGGTCACTCTGTTAATTCTTGCTTTTTGGAGATAGTTTTTTTTGGCAGCCCAGGCTAGCCTCAAACTTGCTTTGTAGCCAAGAATGACTTTGAATTTATGAGTCTCCTGTTTCGTCTCTGGAGTCCTGAGATTGCAGGTGTGCCCCACGATGCCCAGCCAAAGAGAGTAGGTCTTTTGCTTCAGGGTCTCACTCTGTAGTCCAGGTTAGCCCAGGACTCAATTAAAACCTCCTGCCTTCTGTTTCACTGGAATATACGTGTGCCTCGCCCTGCCTGGTTTATGTGATGGCGGCTCTGTGAGTATCAGGCAGACATCCCACAGGCTGCACTGTGTCCCCAGCTCAACTCTTTTTTTTGTTTTTGTTTTTGTTTGTTTTCAAGACAGGGTTTCTCTGTGTAGTCCTGGCTGTCCTGGAACTCACTCTGTACACCAGGCTGGCCTCAAACTCAGAAATCCGCCTGTCTCTGCCTCCCAACCAGCTCAACTCTTGAAATAAACTTATTTATTTATGTATTTATTTATCTGGGTGTGTGCACATGTCACAACATGTAGGCAGGAGCCCCAGGACAACTTGTGGCAGTCAGTTCTCTCCAACCACCATGTGGATCCCAGAGGTGGAACTCAGGTCATCAGGCTTGACAGCAGTGCATGTACCCATAAGCCCATCCTGCTGCCCAGCCACCCCCACCAGCCCAATTCTCATATTTATTTACTTATTTGTTTTATTTCTCTGAGATTCTTGGACATAAAGGAAGGGGTGGGATGAATGTAAAGAGTGGAAGGCATTTCCATATTGGGAAGAAGTCTGAAGCTGGGTGCTCCAGGAACACCTGTCCTGCTGGTATCCAGGAGGCGCTTCCAAGCCAGCCTGAGCTGTGTAGCAAAACCCTGCCCACAAAGCACAAAACAAACCCATAGACATTCAAAAAAGGCCTAGGGCTGTTGGATCGAAGAGAGAAGAAACTTTAGTTCTAGAGGCTTTGATTTTCTCCTGTGAGGAACGAAAAGGCTGACCCTGCCTTTTAAACATTGTGTGTGTGTGTGTGTGTGTGTGTGTGTGTGTGTGTG